TAGGCTGGGCCCGAGGGTGGTGGTCATTGAGGAGGCGGGGGAGCTCTTGGAGTGTCAGCTCGTCGCGAGTTTGTCGTCGCCGAATTTGCAGCATTTGGTTATGATTGGCGACCATCAGCAGTTGAGGCCGAAAGTGAATGTCTATGAACTGACCAAGAAGAATCACTTCGACATCTCCCTCTTTGAAAGGCTTATTAACGTTGGTGTTCCCTTTGCAAGGTTGAACACGCAGCTGAGAATGCGGCCAGAGGTGAGTCAGTTGGTGAAGCACTTCTACGTGGACGGCTTGACGGACCATGACAGGGTGAAGGCATATGACCGAGTCGGAGGCGTGGCGACTGATGTGTATTTCGTGGATCATCGGGAGAAGGAGCAAGCCTTTGAGGGGACCTCGAAACGCAACGACTTTGAGGCTAGGTTTGCCGCAAGGTTGGCGTCGTACTTGGTCCGAACACAGCAGTACAACGCTGAGGATATCACGTTGCTCACTCCGTATATTGGGCAGAAGAGGCTCATTAGGAGTCACCTCGATGGAGATCTGAAGAGGAGCGCTGATGGTGTGAAGGCGGGCGCCCGTGTGGTGACCATTGACGACTACCAAGGGGAGGAGAATAAGGTTGTTATACTATCTCTGGTGAGGTCTAATAAGGCCCGGAAGGTGGGCTTCACTGGCATTGAAAACCGCGTTATTGTGGCGATGTCGCGAGCGAAGGAAGGTCTGTATATACTGGGAAACGCGGAGATGTTCGAGAACGAGGCCAACTGGGAAGTCATCATAGCTCGGCTGAGGGCTCAGGCGCGAATCGGGCCGGCGTTGACACTGCAGTGTCGAGTGCATCCACAGCAGTTTGAACAAGTTGCCAGGGCGGAGGATTTCCTACATGTGAAGGATGGTGGCTGTCGGCTCCCCTGTCGTCGCTTGCTGGACCGCTGTGGTCATAGGTGTCCGCTCAACTGCCATGTGTTTGACCACGCTCAAGTGTGCTGTGATAAGCCTTGTGATAGGGCAAGGCCGGAAGGGTGTGGCCATAGATGTAGCCATCTCTGTTGGGAGTGCACTAGGGCCGGCTCGACCCCGGAGGACCCCTGCCCGACCCCTTGCTCGTCTCCGGTGCTTGTGAGGTTGAGCTGTGGCCACACGAAGAATGTGAGGTGTCACTATCGCGAGGATGAGGTCGAGTTGAGATGCCATAAAGCGGTGACGGTGGAGCTCCCATGTGGGCATCCTTTGACCACCTCCTGCTATAAGTCTCGGAGGCCCGTCACGGAGTTGCTGTGTGAGTTCACTAAGAAAGTCCGAGTCGAAGCTTGTGGCCATGAAGTTACTCAGAAGTGCCATGATGTTCCTAGATGTGGTCAACGGTGCGAACAGGAGCTCACCTGTGGTCACGTGTGCCCGAAAAGGTGTTATCCTCGACATTCCCATGAAGGGGTCCAGTGTGAGGAAGCCTGTGAGGAGACGCTGGCTTGTGGTCACTACTGTGAAGAGAAGTGTGGGCAACCTCATACGCGTCTGTGTAAGGAGGAATGTGGCCTCCAGTGTCTGCATGGGTATACCTGTGGCAAGCCATGTAATGAGCTCTGCGTGCCCTGTCGAGAGAAGTGCCTGTGGAAGTGCTCACATTACGAGTGCACGAAGCTGTGTTATCAGCCTT